ACCCAGAAGGCCTTTCTGGTGCAGTCGCTGCTTCTTCAGCCTCGGCCCAGAAAGAACGCAGACCCCTGGCCGATCCGCAGGCCTTCAGGGAGCCGCAGAGCACAGCGGCCGGCCCAGCGTTGAAGCCCAAGCCTGCGAAAACCTTATTACAGCCGCCGTTTGGGATGGTTGATTAGGACGCGCGTTGCTGTGGCGGTAGCTCACCAACCCAATGCGTGCACCCGCTCCTTTATTAGGCTATAGGGCCAGTGGCTGCGACAGGGACCTGATACAACAGTGCGTTAAATAAGGAGATATTGAGCTCTCATGTCGTAAGTCGGTGGAGAAGTCCAGGGCTAGTGTTGGGGCTCCGGCGGGGGCTGTGGCCCTATCCGCGTGGAACCTCCTCGCGGTTCGCAGGTCGCGGTCTTCGGAGCCTTCAGCCCTGCGAGACGGAACAGTCCACAGGGCGGCGCCAGACCCTCTCCCCAACGCCATTCTTTAAAACCTCGGCTCCAACCGGTTCCACTTCTGCTTCAGGCTCAGGATTTTCACTCTTCTGGAATGGGAGTGGCTCTGGGTAGCAACAGCATCTCCCTTCCTCCAGGATCTCAGAGCCAGAGCTGGGCGAGAGGTCCTGACCTCCGGGATAGGGGTGGCAGTGTCCCTGTGAAGGTGCGGTCCTGCCTCCCATCCCCAGGCTCCCGGCCTCTCCCACCCTCAGCGCCCTGCTCACCTCCAGCTGAAGACGCCGGGGCACCTCTGCTTCCTCCCTGCCCTCTCTGCAGTACCGCAGAGTGAGCATAAAAGGGCTTAATATAGGCTTCACCTGTCGTGGTGGCTCGCGCCTGTAATCTCAGTAACTTGGGAGGCCAAGGCCAGAGGATCACTTGAGGCCAGGAGTTCAAAACCAGCCTGGGCAACAAGGTGAGACCCATCTCTACAAAAGAAAATAAATAAAATAGGTCCCTTTTTCTGGGAGATTGATGTAGGGAAGCAAGCGTGTGAGTTGGAAGGGAGGCACTGAGGATCAGCCATTTAAAGCAGCATACAAGGATGTTCAAGGCTAGAGATCCACAGGTGTATTTTCAGAAACTGAATTTCCTGGCCAGGTGTGGTGGCTCAAGCCTGTAATCCCAACACTTTGGGAGGCCAAGGCGGGAGGATCACTTGAGGTCAGGAGTTCAAGACCAGCCTGGCCAACATGGTGAAATCCTGTTTCTACAAAAAAATAAAATAAAAATCAGCGGGGTATGGTGGTGGGTGCCTGTAATCCAAGCTACTTGGGAGGCTGAGGCAGGAGAATCACTTGAACCTGGAAGGTGAAGGTTGAGATCACACTACTGCCTGAGGCGACAGAGTGAGACTGTCTCCAATAAAAAACCCCAAAACAAACAAAGAAAACCCCTGAATTTTCCTGTGGACACCTTTTCTCTGGCAACCTTTGTCAATGAGGGCTATGTTTTCCCCAATACTATATGGCCTACAGACAGCTCAGCTTTCATTCCAGTGAAAACATTCTAGAAAAAACTCCCAGTCAATCCCAGGTGTTTCTCCAATCAACTCGGGATGATTGTGTGTCACCTGCCACCCAGCTAGAGTGACACCTCTCCAGGCCTCTGACTTAGTTAGGTCTCCACCATGTGACTCCACCGTAGACTCCCTGCCTTCTTCTTTTGCAAACCCTTTGACACCCAAACACCTACCAATTTCACCCCTTTCTGTGCAGCTGCCGGAAGCCCAGGAAGCACACATCAAGGCTCCCTTGCCAGCGGGGTGCTGCCAATAAAATGGAGTCACGTGGGATTTGGAATGTGGAAAGGAGGTAGAAGTCATCCTTTCCTCCCCCGTAGCAGCACATGTGCAGGCTCTGGTCAGCTGAACTCCATACTCCCCCACCAGTCACCAGCCTGGGGACCATGGGGCTGCAAGGACCTCAGCAGCGGTTTCCCGAGTTTCCTGACTTCTTCCACCCTCTGGAAATCAGCTGTGGTAAAGCAGCCTGAAAGCCAGTGGTGCAACCTCCTCCTCCCCAACCTTCACCACCTCTAGCCCCTCCAGTGATAAGCACTAATTGCCTATATACAACCCCTTTTTGTTTGAAATAGCTAGAGTAATTTCTGTTTTCCTATCTGGGGTAGTGTAACATAAGAAGAAATATATATTGGTCTGTGCCCCCAGTTCCTAACACAAAGCTTCTAAAACCCTTGGAAATTCCTGAATGATGGGGGTGCTAGGAGCATTGTCTTCTTTTTTTTTTTTTTTTAATTTATCATTTTTCTTTTTTTCCAGATTGTTTCCTTTTTTTTTTTTTTTTTTTTAATTTAAGGGATACATTGCACATTTAACTTTTTTTTTTTTTTTTTTTTTTGAGACAGAGTCTTGCTGTGTGTCCAGGCTGGAGTGCAGTGGCGCAATCTCAGCTCACTGCAAGTTCTGCCTCCCAGGTTCACGCCATTCTCCTGCCTCAGCCTCCCGAGTAACTGGGATTACATATGCCTGCCACCACATCCGGCTAATTTTTTTTTTTTTTTTTTGTATTTTTTTAGTATAGATGAAGTTTCACCGTGTTAGTCAGGATGGTCTCAATCTCCTGACCTTGTGATCCACCCGCCTTGGCCTCCCAAAGTGCTGGGATTACAGGTGTGAGCCACGGCGCCCGGCCTAACTTTTTTTTTTTAACTTATGGGATACATGTGCATGTATGTTATATAGGTACACTTGTGTCACAGGTGTTTGTTGTACAGATTATTTCATCACTACCAGGTACTAAGTCTAGTACCCAGTAGTTTTTTCTGCTCCTCTCCCTCCTCCCACCCTCTAGTCTCAGGTAGGCCTCAGTGTCTGTTGTTCCTTCTCTGTGATCATGAGTTCTCATCTTTTAGCTCCCACTTACGTGAGAACATACTGTATGTGGTTTCCTGCTCCTGTGTTAGTTTGCTGAAGATGATGGCCTCTAGCTCCATCCATGCTCCAGCAAAAGACCGGTCATTGTCCATATTCTAACAACAGTTAGATGTACCTGTTCAGGGGAGGAAATGATACGGAAGGGCGTGGTCCCTTTAAATGATACGGAATTGGGGAAGGAGAGTGCTGGTAGAGGAGGGTGTGGTCTCAGGCTAGGGCTCCACCCTCAGGCCTGTGCCCATGGACCTAAGTGAGGACAGGCATTTTCATTTTCCAGCCCAAATGTTGCATTTCCCAAGACCTCCCCTGGCCTGTCACGCCCCCATCCTGTGCCTATAAAAACCCTGAGACACTTGCAGGCACACATACAAGGACATGGACAGGAGCAGATCAGCGGAAGAAGACACAAGCAGCTGGACATTGAGAGGGCGTTGAGGGGAGCACGTTGGGCAGGCCACCAACCGCCAGAACGAGGCAAAGTTTGGCTGGGGCAGTGGGAGGACAGCCCGGGCTGCTCAGCAGCCTGGCTCCAGGGGAAAACCTTCCCACTCCACCCCCTTCTGGCTTTCCCCATCTGCTGAGAGCTACCTTCACTCAATAAAATCTTGCACTCATTCTGCAAGCCCAGGTGTGATCCAATTCTTCCGGTACACCAAGGCAAGAACCTGGGATACAGAAAGCCCTCTGTCCTGGCGACAAGGTAGAGGGTCCAGTTGAGCTGGTTAACACAAGCCGCCTATAGACGGCAAAACTAAAAGAGCACACGGTAACACATGCCCACTGGGGCTTCAGGAGCTGTAAGCATTCACCCCTAGACACTGCCATGGGATCGGAGCCCCACATCCTGCCTGTCTGTATGCTCCCCTAAAGGTTTGAGCAGCAGGGCACTGAAGAACCAAGTCACGCTCCCTGTCCCATGCCCTGCAAGGGGCACAAAGGAACGTTTCTCGTTTCAATATGGTGTCCAAGAAATGGTGACACATCTCACACAGGGCCTAGGCTCAGGAGGGCTGGAGGATGAGACATTCCCCCTCCCCTGCGAACTTAAAAATGTGGCCAACAATTTTTTTAAAAGATGGCTACTCTGTAGTGCTTTCACTGGACCTATTTAGACAACGCCTTGCACACTGGAGAAGGACGATACTGTGTGAACCTAATAAGTCTACAAGACAATACTTCTCTCTTTTGGCTGCCTCCTTCCTTTCCAGGGTGATGACAACTCGGTGAGGGTGGAGATTATACGTCTCTCATCATTTCAGCAACAAGGAAATAAATTAATGATCCCAGAAGCCCCCAGTGTGCCCCTTTCCAATCATAACCCTCTCTCTAACCCTTATAGGTAACCACTATCCTGACTTTTGTAATAATATTCTTGCTTTTAAAATGAAGCTCTGGCCGGGTGCAGTGGCTCACGCCTGTAATCCCAGCACTTTGGGAGGCTGAGGCGGGTGGATCACCTGAGGTCAGGAGTTTAAGGCCAGCCTGGCCAACATGGTGAAACCCCGTCTCTACTAAAAATACAAAAATTACCCAGGCGGTAGTGGCGTGTGCCTGTAATCCCAGCTACTCAGAGGAGGCGGAGGCAGGAGAATCACTTAAACCTGGGAAACGGAGGTTGCAGTGAGCCAAGATAGCACCACTGCACTCCAGCCTGGGTAACAGAGTGAGACTCTGTCTCAAAAAAATAAATAAATAAAAATAAAAATAAATAAATAAATAAATAAATAAAATAGTTCTGCTGGGCACGGTGGCTCACACTTGTAATCACAGCATTTTGGGAGGCCAAGGCAGGAGGACTGCTTGAGCCCAGGAGTTCAAGACCAGTCTGAGCAATACAGCAGGACCTTGTCTCTAGAAAAATTTAAATATTAGCTGGGCATGTTGGTGTGCACCTGTAGTCCCAGCTACTGGAGAGGCTGAGATGCGGGGATTGCTTTAGCATGGGAGGTCCAGGCTGCAGTGAGCCGTGTTTGCACCACCGCAGACCCTTTCTCAAAAATAAATAAAATAAAATGTAATTTTACCTATTATATATCAGTCATAAATAACATAGTTTAGTTTTGCCACGTTGAACATTATATAACATTATATAAATGAAATCATATTATACATACTATTTTCTGTATCACTTCTTTCACTCAATAATTTGTTTGTACATTTAAGATGTATGTTGCTGAGCAATCACAAGCAAAAGATTGGAGAAGGGGCCTAACATTAAAGGAGAATGAGGAGAAGGAAGAGTTGACAAGAAAAGTGAAAGCAGAGTCAGTTGTCAGTATGGCTTGGGGAGATAAAGGCGGCCCAGGAAGGCGCCCAGGAAAAGGCTGCCATGTGAGGCAGGACACAGAAGACAATTGAGGAAAGGTGATTCTTACAAGATGGTGAAGGTGCCATTGTAGGTGTTGGGCTCTGGCACAGGCACTTGGCAGAGCCTCTGCTTTGGGCTGAGATCAATACACGACAGTGTCTCATCTCCGCAGGTACAGAGCTCACATATGTTGGTGCTTGTGGAGGCCTTCTGTTCCTCTGGTGCAGTTAAAGCCTTATTTTGGGCGTGACTTTCAGGCTGCACCAATGAATCCTGAGTAGGTTCTAGCTCAGTATGTGGATCTCTGACTTCAGTCAGGCTTCGGTGCAGAGTCTGAACCTGGTCTGGATGAGGAGCTGTAGTCTTCTCCAGGGCTGTGGAATGTCCGATCTCTATAGTGGGTTCTGAAGTGATGGCAAGCCCCGGGTCTGGAGGCTGAGTTGAGGTCTCCTCCACGGTTGGAAACGGTTTAACCTCTGTAGTAGGTTCTGTAGTTATGGTAAGCTCCAGGGCCAGAGGTTGAACTGTGACTTGAGTCAGGTGTGAATGCTGGTTCTGAACCTGGTCTGGATGTGGAAGTGTCACCTTAGGATGCTTTGGAGGAACTAGAGTCTTCTTCAGGGGTGTAGAATGTCCAACCTCCGTAGTGGGTTCTGGAGTGAGGGTAAGTCCCAGGTCCAAAGGTTGAACTGTAACGCTGGGTGACATTGGATGCTGAGCTTGATCCTGACCTGGTGTTGGAATTGTTACCTCTTGATATACTAGAAGTTGGGGTACAACTTTCTTAGGAGGCTGAGTTGGGGTCTCCTGTATGGTTGGAGAAAGTTCAACCTCCATAGTGGGTTCTGGAATGATGGTAAGCCCCAGGTCCAAAGGTTGAACTGTGACACTGGGCAATATTGAATGCTGAGCTTGATCCTGGCCTGGTGTTGGAACTGTCACCTCATAATGAGCTGGAGGTTGAGCTGCAACCTCCTTAGGTGGCTCTGGAAGCTGAACTGGGACCATTTGCTGCCTTGAAGATTCTACCTCCTTAGGGAGCTCTGGAGTCTGAACCGTAGCCTCCTGCTGGGTCAGAGAAGGTTCTGCCTCCATAGTGGTCTCTGGAATCTAAGCTGGAACCTCCTGCTGAGTTAAGAGATGGTTCCACCTCCTGAAGGAACTCTGGAGGCAAAGATGAGACCATCTGCTGGGTCAGAGAGGGTTCTATCACCATGGGGGGGTCTGAAGACTGAGCAGAGATTGCCTGCTAGACTGGAGAGGATTCTACCTCTTTAGGTGGCTCTAAAAGCCGAGTTGGGGCCTGCTGTAGGACTGGAGATAGCTCGACCGTCTCAGGTGGCTCTGATGGCTGAGCTGCTATCTCCCATTGCAGTGGAGGACTGATCTCTTCAGTGCACTTTGTGGGATGACCTGAGGCTTCCTGCTGGGTTGCAGATGGTTCAGCCTCCTTAGGGGGCTCTGGTGGCTCAGCTGGGAACTCTTGCTGGACTGGAGAAGGCTCTACCTCCTTAGGGAAATCTGAAGTCTGAGCTGTGGCCTCTTGCTGGACTGGAGATTCAGTCTTTTCAGGGGAATGCAGAGGTGGGGAAGGGAGGTCAGGCTGGGCTAGAGAAAAGTCAGCCTCTTCAATAGGAATAGGAGGGTTGTCCTGCTGGACTGGAGAAGGTTCAACCCCCATAGTGACTGCTGTAAGTAGGGTAAGCTCCATATCCACATTTTTAACAGTGGTATTAGGCAAAGTTGAATTACTTCTGAATATTGAAGATAGATTTAGAGGTGAAAATATCATCTCATCATTCAATGAACTTTCAAAGTCTGAGGAGAGCTGAGTTGGAGGCTGAGTTGTGGGCTCTTGATGGATTGAACTAAGTTCATCATTTTCAGGGTTATTTAGCTGCTGAATTATAATCTCTTGCTGGTGTTTCAAATGTTGAAACTGCTCAGGGGACATTAAGGGCTCAGCTGGAGCCCCCTGTTGGGTTAACATTGCAACCTGATTAGTGAAATCTGGAGTCATGGTAACCACGTGATCCACAGGTTTAACAGTGACATTGTGAAATGTTGGAGATCGAACTTGATCACAATTTAGAGGGGAAACTGTTACCTCCTGATGCTCTGGAGGTTGAGCTACAACTACATTAGGGAGCTCTGGAGTCTGAGCTGGGGCCTCTTGCTGGATTAGAGAAGACTCAACCTCCTCAGGGGTCTGTGGATGCTCAACTGCAGCCTTCTGCTGGGTTGGAGAGGGGTTCTCATTATTAATAGGTTCTGAAGATTGAACTGAAGTCTCCTGTTGAATTGCTGAAGGTCCAGCCTCTTCCAATGACTCTGGAAGCAGAGGTGGGCCCCCGTACTGGATGGTGGGAGGTTCTACATCATTACCTGGCCCTGAGAGCTGAGCTGTAGCCTCCTGGTGGACTGGAGAAGTTTCCACCTCTGCAGTAGGCTCTGTTGCTATGGTGAGCTGCACATCTGGAGGCTTCACAGTGACATTGGGCAAATCTGAATGCTGAGCTTGATGGTGACCTGGAGGTGAAACTGTGACTTCATGATGTTCTGAGGGCTGAGCTGGGGCCTCCTGCTGGGCTGGAGAAGATTCAACCTCCCCAGAAGACTCAGAAGGCTGAGCTGGCTGCTCCTGCTCACTGGGGGAAAGTTCACACTCCATAGGAGGACCTGGAGGCCCAGTTGCGGCCTCCTGTTGGCTTGCAGAAGGTTTCACCTTTTCTGGAGGCTGAGTTGGGGCCTCCTGCTGGGATTCGGTAGATTCTGCCTCCTTGGTAGGCTCTGAAGTTATGGTAACCTCCATATCTGCAGGTTTAGCTGTAATGTTGGGGAAGTTATAATGAGCTTGATCCTCACCTGGAGGTTGAAGTATACCTCATGATTCAGTAGAGTTTGAGCTAGACTCTCCATAGAGGACTCTGGAGGCTGAGCTGGGGCCTCCTGCTGGGTCTGAGAAGTTTCAACCCCCCCAGGAAACTCAGAAGGCTGAGCTGGCTGCTTCTGCTCACTGGGGGAAGGTTCAGCCTCTACAGGAGGACCTGGAGGCTCAGCTGGGGTCCCTTGCTGGGTTACAGAGGGTTTCGTCTCCTCAGGGTACTCTAGTGTCTGAGCTAGGGCCTCTAATTGGGTTGAGGAAAAGTCCACCTCCTCGGGGTGCTCTGGAGGCTGAGCAGCGGCCTGTTCCTGGCTTGATGTAAGTTCCTTACCTGGCTCTGGAGTTACCACAAGCTCCACATCCACAGGTTTCACTGTGACACTGGGCAAGCATGAGTGCTGAGTTTCACTCTAACTTTTCAATGGAACATTTACCTCATGATGTATCAATGGCGGAGCTACAGTCTCTTCAGAGGCAGGTTGCTGCTGTGCTGGGGTCTCCTGCTCTGTTGAAGAAGAGTGGACCCCCTGAAGCGACTGTGAAGGCAGAGCTGGGGCCTCCTGATGGGTTAGAGAAGGTTCTACCTCCTCAGAGAGCCATGGAATCTTCGCTGGGGCTTCTTGATGGAGTGAAGAGGACTGGATGTCTTCAAGGGTCTCTGCAGTTTGAGTTTTGGGTTCTAGACAGAATTGACAAAGTCCAACTTGCTCAGGGAGTCCTGGAGGCTCATCTGGGTTCACCCAGATTTCTGGGCAGGCAGCCGGGATACAGTATATCCATACGTGAATATTCATTCTGCTGAGGTTTTGATATAAATCGGTGTGGAGTTCCAACAACGTTAGCAAGCTTCCGACGCTGAGCTAGATCTTTCTTCGTGTTCTTGGGAGAAACAATAAACTTGTCTGCTTTTGAATCCTTACTGTCTAGAGGTGGAGCAAGTATTTCATCTGCCTGATCTAGATCTGCAGTTTGAACCTTACTTTTGAGGTGAGGAGGCTGAACTAGGGTCTGGTTCTGATCCCAGTCCAGCATTGGAACCACCTCCATAGTGGGTTCTGGAGTGATGGTAAGTCACAGGTCCAAAGGTTCAACTGTAACGCTGGGTGACATTGGATGCTGAGCATTGGAACCACCTTTGGGAGCCTTTCTTGTCCAGTCTGTCTATCATTTAGATTCTGGTGTGCAGCCAAGAACTGCTCTGGCTGGGGGGCGGGGCAGCTCTCCAGCTGAATCCATGTCCAGGAACCGAACCAAATTCTCAGTCAATTTCTGGGGTGGGGCTGACATCTGCGAGGAAGCAGAGGGCCCCAGGTAATCAAAGCCCCCGGTTCTGCCAGGGGAGTAAGTGCATGGGGAGATTCCCATGGGAGATAGGATGAGCCGGAAGACCAGGGCTCAGTCGGCTGCAGGGGGTTAGAGGTCCTTGATCCACTCCAGAGGCTAAGCCTCCTTGACTAGTAGCCACAATAGTTGCCATGTGAAGAGGGGCCATGGGCCCCAGAAACGCAGCTGGGACATGACACTCCTGCACTGAGCGGGAGCCTTTCTGGCAGCCCTGAGACAAACCTGACAAACGCGCGCCCCGCCCCATCCTTTATGACACCTTTATTTACGCCACATTTACTAGGCTCGGTCCAGATCTCTCCATGTCACCAGGGCGATCTTATGTCACAATCCCGCCCAACGTCCCCTTCCCACCCTGGCCCCACCGGAACACCCCTCCCCTTCCCTTAGCGAGGAAGGATTTGGGCCGAAGACCTGGGTGGTCCCAGGACTCCAGCAGCCTGTGGTGGTGGGGTGGGGTGGGGTTGGGTGGGGTCGAGGCTGAGCTTCCCAAGGAAGTCACAGGACCTCCCCTCAGGATCTTCAGAAGTGCTAGTCCGGCTCTGGCAGCCTGAACTCTTCCTCCTCCAAGGTGAAATCCGAGAATACTCTTCCTTCCAGGGAGAGCAACTGACCTGCAAAATGGGCGCCAGTTCGGGTGGCAGGCACCACGCACATTACAGTCATTTATTCCAAAATGTTGCTGTTTTCGCTAAACTTTCGTTATCTCTGGTTGCATGTTTTGCATGTTTGATAATGAATTCACCACCCTACTAGGTAGGGCTGCCAGGGAATAAGCAAGGACTCCACATTTTCTGTAGGAGGGGTGTTGGGGGTGGGCAATTCAGTCTGGGAGAGAAGGCTTTAATCCGAGTGAAGAGCCCTTTGCACTAGCCTGGGAGGAGGCTGAACTGTCATCCTGCCTTGACTCAACACAGCCATTACCCTAGAAGTTACAGCGCCACCCTTCAGAGATCTACCCTGTGTGCACACATGGAGAAGAGGCTTAGGCTGTTAAAGTCAACATGTTAAATAATGTCCTGAAATGCGACTGTAATTAGAACACAGCTGACTTCCCCCACAGCCATTCTTACGTATTTTATTACTGTCTGGCACAATTACCAGCATGTAAACTCCAAGAAGGTGCTTCATCTTATTCCAGTGCCGAGCAGAGGCATAAGGTGCATAGTGATGGTTTTAAAGTGGAAGGGATTCCAAGATTCACTTCATTTAGGGATGGATCTATTGTTATAATCAGATTTCTGAAATCAGTGCTGACTTCCTCTCACATTTCACAGGAAGCGAGACTTCTTAAAGCTTGAGGTTTTCTTGGTGGGTTTTATTTAAATTGAATTAAAATATTTATTTTACAGGGAAAACCTTCAAAATAAAACACTTTGCAACTTTGGGGTGAAAGTTAAATAAAACACTCTAGCTCCAGATTAAGTTATCACTGAAATGAAACACTTTTGCTCCTTTTTTTTTTAAAAAAAAAAAAAGAACATTTCATATGTAGTAAATAACGATTGTTTTCTTTTGAGATTAATTTAGAAACTTAATCCCTATTTAAGAGCTTTCATATGCAGTTATGCGTTGCCTGCCATGTGAGGAGCTTGAGAAAAGTGTCATTAGGTGATTTTACCATTGTGCTAACATCATAGCGTATACTTACACAAACCTAGGTGGTGTAGCCTACAGCACACCTAGGCTATATGGGATGGCCTAGGACTCCTACGCTACAAACCTGTACCATATGTTACTGTTGTTAGGTTTTGAAGAAAAAGCAAGGGTTAAAGAAAGACACACACACAGAAAGAGGTCAGCTCAACAGCAAATGCAGGTTTTACGTCCAGCATAAACCCTACAGAAGTGGGAGACTAGCTTAATGCCAGAGCCCACCACTACTTACAGGCTGGGGCAATGGATAGGTAAGGGGCAGAGGGGTCTGGGCAGTAGGGCTTGCTACCTGGCAGGACACCGATGAGATGTTCCCATCATGAGGTGGTTCTGGCCCTTGTTCCAGCAGGATGTCATCATAGTGTTCCTTGGATCTTTGTCCAGCAAGATATGACAAGGATGTTTCTTTTTTTTTTTTTTTTTTTTTTTTTTTTTGAGATGGAGTCTCACTCTGTCACCCAGGCTGGAGTGCAGTGGCGTGATCTCGGCCCACTGCAACCTCCACCTCCCAGGTCCAAGCGATTCTCCTACCTCAGCCTCCTGAGTAGCTGGGATTACAGGCGCGCACCACCATACCCAGCTAATTTTTGTGTTTTCAGTAGAGATGGGGTTTCGCCATGTTGGCCAGGCTGATCTCGAACTCCTGACCTCAAGTGATCTGCCCGCCTCAGCCTCCGGCAATGCTGGGATTACAGGTGTGAGCCGCCGTGCCAGGCCAGGGATGTTTCTTTAGTTAGGCTTTGTCTGCCCTGTGGTCAGGTGGTTAGGTAGGATGTTTCTCACCGCCTGAACCTCTGTGAAATGTTTCACTTTGAGCGAGGTCTGCAAAATAGCAGGGAGCTTACAACATGGTACAGTTTGGACTAACATTTTTGCCTTTTACTTTAATATAAAAGGAAGAGGGGTGTTGCTGATTGGCTGCTTCCTTCTGAATAGGGGCGCTGTACTCAGCATTTGGGTTTCGAAGCAGTGGGCATTCCACTTCAGAGCTGTTTTCCTTGAGGTGCGGATACTGGACTTGGTGGAGGAGAATGATAGTATTCATGTGTTTCTGGGTGGTTGCCTGAACAACGGAGTTCAGCCTTTGGGAGATAAAGCAGGATATGAAGGTGAGTACACATGGGTCAACTGTTAGAATTAGGAGGCAGAAAATTAGGGGTCCTCCAACCGGCTAGCCTGGTACCAAGTGTAGCAGAGATGTTTAGTCCTGCTAACGAGAATGAAGCGTACAGCCCGCTTGCTGTGTGGGGTGGGGGGAGGAAATAGGCATTACTAAAGGAACCTGAATCTGAATAGTTTGGTTGTTAGGCAAAATGTTAATGTTTGGAGATTGAAACACTAGGGTGCATGTTCCTGACCAAGTGCAGCCTAGGGAATTCTGGCACTCTCTAGATGTCAGAGGTCATAATCAAGGATGACGCCTTTAGTTAGACAAACCAACTTTGAGCCTCCACTCTATACTATAGGGGAGTCCCAGACAAGAACACAGCTTGAGCTGGGCGTGGTGGCTCACACCTATAATCCCAACACTCTGGGAGGCTGAGGTGGGTGGACATTTGAGGTCAGGAGTTCGAGACCAGCCTGGCCAACATCGTGAAACCCTGTCTCTACTAAAAATACAAATATTAGCCAGGCATGGTGGCCCGCACCTGTAGTCCCAGCTACTCAGGAGGCTGAGGCAGAAGAATTGCTTGAACCTGGGAGGCAGAGGTTACAGTGAGCAGAGATCGTGACACTGCACTCCAGCCTGGACCACACAGTGAGGCTCTGTCTCAAAAACAAGTAGTAATAATAATAATGTGTTATATATCATATCATATGACATATAATGTAGCTATGATGATATAACAATCATAGCTATTATTCTTGGCCGGGCGCGGTGGCTCAAGCCTGTAATCCCAGCACTTTGGGAGGCCGAGACGGGTGGGTCACGAGGTCAGGAGATCGAGACTATCCTGGCTAACATGGTGAAACCCCGTCTCTACTAAAAAATACAAAAAACTAGCCAGGCGAGGTGGTGGGCGCCTGTAGTCCCAGCTACTCGGGAGGCTGAGGCAGGAGAATGGCGTGAACCCGGGAGGCGGAGCTTGCAGTGAGCTGAGATCCGGCCACTGCACTCCAGCCTGGGCGACAGAGCGAGACTCCGTCTCAAAAAAAAAACAAACAAACAAACAAAAAAAAACAATCATAGCTATTATTCTTAAAACGGCATTTGAGGCAGGTCTTGAAGGATATAAAGCTTCATTGGCCAAAATTTCCATCACTCCCTGCTTGTTCTCCCCTCTGTCAATCAGCTGCCACCAGGGAGGTCCAATTTCTGAAACACAGGAATTGTGTGAGCAGAAGTCACCGTTCACACCAGCCCTCAGTGTGAGGAGGAAGACATTTGAGGGCAAGGTAGCTGCAGCCCCCAAGCTGCCCTCCACACTGGAAGCCAGTCAAGGCATGGCCTCTTCAGCTACAGTTGACATCCAGTTCTGCTCTGGACCTGCGAAGGCTCTGAGGGCTTCCTGCCAGGCTGCAGGGAGGGGTTTGAGTGTAGACCTGGTGGACTGGAAAATTACCCATTTGCCCCCAGATTAATGATTAACGGGTCCCTGCCCTCACCCTGTCTGGGAGAGGAGCCCAGGGCCAGGCTGGCCAGGGGGAGCCCGATAGCATCTGTCTCTGCTCGGAGGTTTCGGAGATATGCTCCATGGTGGGCTGACTGCACCTGATGAGTGTGGAATCTATGGGTGATTTCTGAGGGCACCTGGGGCCTGGCCAGGCCACATACCCTCCAGTGAGGCTTCTAACTTCTGGGGCATACAGAGAGGGCGTGGCATCCAGTCAGATGTCCTGATTAAGGCAGGTGGCTCCAAACAGGAGAGCTGTGCCCTTGGCTCAGAGGAACGTGGGCTTCTCTGACCACTCCTGGCTTGACCACAGGACTTACCTTGACCAGTGACACATCAGCAACATAAGTGCCACATCTAAGCAGGATGTGGCACCTTAAGAGCTACTGCAGCCAGGCGCGGTGGCTCACACCTGTAATCCCAGCAATTTGGGAGGCCAAGGCAGGTGGATGACAAGGTCAGATTGAGACCATCCTGGCCAACATGGTGAAATCCCATCTCTACTAAAAATACAAAAATTAACCAGGTGTGGTGGCACGCACCTGTAGTCCCAGCTACTCGGGAGACTGAGGGAGGAGAATCACTTGAACCTAAGGTTCAAGTGGAGGCAGAGGTTGCAGTTAGTGGAGATCGAGCCACTGAACTCCAGCCTGGCAACAGAGCAAGAGTCCATCTCAAATGAACAAACAAACAAACAAAAGGAGCCGTTGCCTGGTTCTACCTTTGATTTTCTTTTCTCTTTTTTTTTTTTTTTTTTTTTTTTGAGACAGGGTTTCACTCGGTTGCTTAGGCTAGAGTTCAGCCACATAATCTCTGCTCACTGCAGCCTCCACCTCCTGGGCTCAAACTATCCTCCTGCCTCAGCCTCCCAAGTAGCTGAGACTACAGGTTTGTGCCACCATGCCTGGCTAATTTTCATATTTTTAGTAGAGATGGGGTTTCGCTATGTTGTCTAGGCTGGTCTCAAACTCCTGGACTCAAGCAATCATCCTGCCTTGGCCTCCCAAAGTGCTGGGATTACAGGCGTGAGCCACCACACCCAGCCTACCTTAGCTCTTTTACCCTGGCTATGAGGCCAGGATGTCCCAGAACAAGGTTACTTCTTTTGGGGTGGGCCCTGGAATGACGTATATTCCACCCACACTGGGGGCACCCAAGGAGGCCCCATTCCCTTCACCTGCCCCTCACCACCATCCCCAAGGCTCACCCGTCTCCCTCCTCTCGCCCTCTCCTGCCTGACCAGGCGGGAGGTCCTGATGCCCTTCCCAGGACTGGGCACTGCGGCGGCCCCGGCACAGGGCAGGGCCCACCTGAAGCAGTGTGACCTGCTGAAGTTGTCCTGGCGGCAGAAGTAACTCTGTGGGAGGAAGCCTAGCCTGGCTGAGACCCTGTGGGACGCCGTGCACCTCAGCCTGGAGTGCCAGTTCCAGTTCCGGCAGGAGCTGCTCAAGTAAGGTGGGGAGGTGGGCTATGGGAGGAGGAGGGCTGGTGGGGGCAGGGGAAGAAGGCTTCTGGGAGAAGGAGGCTGGGAGAGGCCGCCTTTTCCTCTCCCCTGGCACCTGTGCCCAGACCACACTGCCCTTGCTACCCTAGCACAGTTCCAAATGAGAAGAGTCCTGGGAGTTAATGAGAGACAGTTGAAGACCAGGTGTGGCCCAGCCTCAGGTTTCGGGGAGGAGAGGAGCAAGAAAGATCCAAGAGAGAAGGAGACAGCCCATTCCTGGAGGAGCCCACAGATGAGATGGGGGTCCCCCAGTTACCTTCCTCTGCTTCTTCACACACACACGCAAAACAAGGCACATGAAGACATGAGGACAGGCAGCAGCTGGTTCCAGGCCCGACGACATGAGCCAGGCCATGCATTTGTTCGCTCCTTTATCTGTCCCTTTGTTCATCACATCCATTGATCCATCAGTCCCTCCCTCCCTTCCACTCTCGTTTTACCTCTCTCCCTTCTTCCTGCCTCCCTCGCACTTCCACCCACCCACTAAGCATCCATGGAGGCCCACAGTGAGCCAGGCACTGTGCTAGATGCTGGAGGTTCAGAGCTGAACAAGACCTCAGCTGCCCTCAGGAAGCATGCAGTCTAGAAGGGAGAACACAGGTCACCAAGGAGAAAGGGCTTTGATGGGACATTAAAAAAAAAAAATGCAGTGATGCTGTACAGGGCAGCCATGCCCCTCCTAGGCCAGCTGCTCTCCACGGTCAGCATCCGAGCTAATGGCCTCTCTCTGTGTCTCTTATGGGACGTCACCAGCACCCAGATGCACTGGAGGGCAGGTAGGAAGTAGTGAGCCGGTGGGAGGCCAGCTTTGGGCCACACCCAGCAGAGAGGAGAGCAGTGGTCCCAGAGTGGGTGGGATGGTCAGTCTGGGGCAAGTCAGCCAGGAGACTCAAGGTCACTCTGTCATTGGGTCCATTCCACAGTGGGTAGCAGAGAATGATATTTGAGAACCATCATGCCTCACAGGAAGCCCATGGGGCTTATCTCAGGGGCCTCAGAAATAGGCTGGTCCAAATGGTCACACACTGACTTGGAGTCAAAATGGCAAGTTTAGCCCCAGCTGTGCCGGCACCAGGTGTCTGAGTAGCTTCTCTTTGCATCAGTGTTCTTCTCTGAAAAGTGGAGGCCATAGCCCCTGGCCTGCTGCACTCTGGGAATTTGGGCACATACTCCACAGTGAATTTGGAAGTTCCATTTAAGTGGGAACTTGCAGTCAGAGTTTAAGAGGCAGTTGACAGGGAGACCCACCCGGAGCTGTGTCCTCAAGCCACATTCACTCATCCTGCCCATTGCAGGGCTGCCACCTCCTGCCCTCAGAGAGCAGCAGGCAGCCTCTGAGCTGCTTCCTTTCCTCTCTTCCCCCTTTCCTCCCTCCCCGTATCCCTCTACAGTTCCTGGAATGAGTAAGGGAGTCTGGAAGAGCTAGGGCCTGAGAGCCTCCAGTGCCTGCAGAAGAGTCTGGGTTTGTATGGGCAGCCAAGGCTGCAAGGGACACATGGTTTGAGCTCTTGGGGGAGGGGAGCTCTTGAGCTCTTCAGCACTGGGCTGTGACTAATGGGGATAAGGAATAGCCTGTGTGCTGGTATTTAGGGTACACTGATCCCCAGATATCTCCTCCCACCTGTACTATGGAAATTTATCACGGGACTCTCATTTCTTTTTCTAGGGATTCTTGCCTCCATAAAAATGCGGTCCTGGTCTCACTTGGCCACTGAGTCATCCCATAAACTTCAGTGACATTGACATTGAATTTCTCACCCCCACTCAGAGCAGGGTTGGTTTGTATATTTGTTTGCTGTTGTTTTCAGACAGGGTCTTGCTCTGTCACCCAGGCTGGAGTGCAGTGGCACAATCCTGGCTCACTGCAGCCTAAATTTCCCAGGATCAAGCAATCCTCCCACCTCAGCCTCCCCAATACCTGGGACCACAGGCATACTCAAACTTTTGGGTTCAAGTGATCCTCCCACCTCAGCCTCCCAAAGTGCTGGAATTACAGGCATGAGCCACCATGCCTGGCCAAGGGCAAGTTTTAATAAGAAGAGGCCAGAAGATGAGACACTCTTGGGACAAGTAGAGATGGGAGGAAGGGGTTCTTTTAGGGCCAGGTATGGTGGCTCACACCTGTAATCCCAGCACTTTGGGAGGCCGAGGTGGGTGGATCACGAGGTCAGGAGTTCAAGACCAGCCTGGCCAAGATGGTGAAATCCCATCTCTACTAAAAATACAAAAATTAGTAGGGCACGGTGGCAGGCACCTATAATCCCAGCTACTCAGGAGGCTGAGGCAGGAGAATCGCTTGAACCTGCGTGGCAGGGGCTGCAGTGAGCCGAGATCGCACTATTGCACTCCAGTCTGGGCAATAGGGTAAGACTCCATCTCCAAAAAAAAAGGTTGGAGGGGGTTCTTCTATGAGTGGAGGGGCTCACGCCTGTTAATCACCTAGCATGTGCCGGGAGCTGCCCAGAGGCTAAGCTACATCACCCAACTCCATCTTCACAACAGTCCTATGCCAGGATGCAACCAGCTCCATTTCACAGATGAGGATGTGGAGGCTCAGGGGAGATAATGTCCCCTAATCAAGGTCACACAGTCAGGAGGGAGTGAAGTCAGGATTCTCATCCAGAAGTCCCTGCTCTTCCTACTGTGCCCCTTCTGGGGTTGGGGTAGGCACGAAGAATTGGCACACATTTTACAACTTGCCCCAGAAAAGCAGCAATATTGAGGAGGTAGAGGGTTCCTGACAGGCCACACAGCTGAGGCTCTGTGGCCTGAGGCAGCCAAGGCCTAAGCCCATTATCCAAGCAGCCAAGACCCACCGCCCTCCAGAAGGCTCAGCAGGTCATGCCTCAGGGGCTCCAAAATGGTCAGGCAGGCTGAGAAAATCTCCAGGCTGTGCAGCGGGGCCTGCAATCCTGAAACCAGAAACTGCAACTCCACCCCCTCCCCACGGCAGCAGGCCTGGGGCAGGGAATAGGGATGCTGGGACCCCAAAGCAGCCCTGCAGGGGAAGGAGGCAAAGGTACCTTGGATCTAGCCAGATGGGGAGAGGTATCTGGTCTCAGAATAACCCCCTTCCAAACTCTGACAGTAACCCCTGGGAAAAGCACAGTCCCCTCTCAACCCCAGAGCAAAAAGTTACCTGACACCCCAGGCCTCCCTGCCTCTGCCACCCACACTTCTGGGCCCCCGGCAGGGACTGTGACCTGGTCAGAACAGCTGGTAGCCCATGTGCTTCCACCCCCACCTTCTCTCTGTTCTGGACTTTCAGGTCATGACACAGGGAGGAAAAGAAGACTATGCTGGGAGTGGAGCCTCAGAGGAAAAGGGGGCATGGATGCTTAGGAATATAAAGGGCCTCAGGTCCGGGCCAGTGACGCTCTGCTGAGCTCCTCTGCAGCTGCCCAGCACCATGGTAATGTCTGGTGGCCAAGTCTGGGCCCGCATCAGCTGTATTCTCTAGGAGCTTGGGGATGGGGCCTGGCACCAAGGGCCCCTCCTCAGGCCCACTAAGGGCATGAAGGAGATAGGCCAAGGCAGCCTCGTCTGCCATTCTGAGGGCCAGGATAGCTACTACGGCTTCTTATTCCTGCTTGGGGTGATGGTGATGAGGGGAGTTCCTGGTTAAAAGAGGGCTGAGGGGCTTAGGAGCTCTGGGGGTGTGCATCATGTTTATGGGCACCATAGTCTGTGAATCATTGTGTGTTGCAGGCACAAAATTCTCTGTGCATTGGGTGTGTGAATCCTCAGACTGGCTTTCCTCTGTGTAACTGTTAGTCATTCATTTAATATGTACTATTGAGTATCTACTAAGTGCCAGGCACTGTTCTAGGTGCTTGTAATCCATCAATAGACAAAATAGGCGAAGAGCCCAGCTGTAATTAATGATGCTTACATTGAGGGAGGATATGCTGCTGGGAAGGGACTCAGACAACAAATATAGTAAGTACAGAATATAGTAAGTTAGAAAGTGCAGGCCGGATGTGGCAGCTCATACCTGTAATCCCAGAACTCTGGGAGGTGAGGCGGGAGGATCTCATGAGGCCAGGAGTTTGAGATCAGCCTGAGCTACATAGCAAGACTCCATCTCTACAAAAAATTAAAATTTAGCTAGGCATGATTGTATGCACCTGTAGACCCAGCTACTTGGGAGGCCAAAGCAAAAGGATGGCCTGAGCCCAGGAGTTTGATGCTGTAGTGAGCTATGATCCCGACACTGTATTCCAGCCTGGAAAGCAAAAGGAGGCCTTGTCTTAAAAAAAAAAAAAAGAAAGAAAGAAAAGAAAAGAAAAAGAAAAGAAAAAACAGTGCAAAAATAAAGCAAGAAAAAGATACAGAAAGATGAGGGGTTGGGTTGCAATATTATGTTATTTATTTACTTTTTAAATTGTAGAGACAGGCTGTCTGTCTTTTGCCCAAGCTAGTCTTGAACTCATGGGCTCAAGCAGTCCTCCCACCTTGGCCTCCCAAAGTGCTGGGATTACAGGCATGTAATCCCACTGCGCCCGACTGGGTTGCAATTTTAAATAAGTGTGCAGGGTAGGACCCATTTAAAAGGTGGATTTTGAGCTAATGCTTACAAGGGGAGACAGAGCTGGCCCATGAGGATGTCTGGAGGAAGAGTCTTCCAGGCAGAGAACAGAGTGACTGTCATTTTGCAGGAACAGCAGGGAGAAAAGAGGGGGACAAGCAAGGAGTTTGTGTGAGAGAGGTCGGTGAGGATAGGGAGCTGACCAATGGCTTTATGCCATCCTCATGTGTCCACCTTAGGGTGTGTCTCCCCGTTCATTTTTTTTTTTTTTCTTTTTCTTTTCTGGGTTTTTTTGTTTGTTTGTTTGTTTTTTAGAGGAAGTCTGGCTCTGTTGGGCAGACTGGAGTACAGTGGCCTAATCTCAGCTCACTAAAACCTCCACCTCCCGGGTTTCAGCAATTCTCCTGCCTCAGCCCCCCGAGTAGCTGGGATTACAGGCGCCCACCACCACGCCTGGCTAATTTTTGCATTTTTAGTAAAGACAGGATTTCGCCATGTTGGCCAGGCTGGTCTTGAACTCCTGATCTCAGGTGATCCGCCCGCCTCGGCTTCCCAAAGTGCTGGGATTCCAGGCGTGAGCCACAGCACCTCAATGCTCTGCCTGCATCACAGGGCATGTCCAGGTGTGCATCATTGCTCCGGGCACCAGGATGTTCCTTATGGCGTCTGTGCACTGGTGTGTGTCCCAGAAATAGACACGTCCTTCGGTCTGAGCACCCCTGCACCCCAGCCTGCCCACCGCGCGGCACACCTGCAAGCTCCGGTCGGGGCGCTGCGCTGACCCCAGTCCCCGCATCACCTGACCGCCCGCGGCTCTGTCTGCCCCGCCCCCTCCAGACGCCGGCTCTGCGTTGCGTATTCGCTCTGGCCATAGTGGGCCTTGTGTTGCTGCTGCTGCAGCCCGAGGGTGCCCTGGGCGAGGAGTTGCAAGTGCCACAGCCCAGGGCCGCCAGTTGGCTGAACTTAGGCTCCTTCAAGAAGTACATAGGGAAGCTCTTCAACAGCAGGTGGGCCGGCGGAGGGCGTGAGGTAGGGAGGAAAGCGGGAGGCGGAGGGGTGGGGGGGGCGCGGAGGGGGGGACACGGACCCCACCAGGCACCCCCACGCACATCGCAGCCCGAGCTGGGCTCGGGGAGCAGCCTCATGACTGCAAAGACTTGTTCCCAGCCCGAAGAAATCTAAAAACCACAAGAAAACTGCGAACGCCACGAACGCCTCCCCATCGAAAGGCACGAAATACCCTCCATGGACCACCACGAACCCCCAGTGGCTGAATACCTCGGAACCCCGACCACCGACCTCCTCCCGGGGCCCCAGGTAGGACAGCCTGGACGCTTGGCACCGAGCCAGGGGCCTCGGGACTGGGGGAAGCTTGGGTGATAGAGAGAGGAAGCTCCTGGGGGCGGGCATTCGGGGAGACACAGCGCCCAGGCGGGGGAGCTTCGTTCTCCAGGCTGGGCCTTGGCCTCCAGACGCCTCTCTCCCACCAACCCCTTTATATTGAGAGGGGCCTCAACCCGTCCTCATCCCCTCAGTGGAAACAATAAAGACAAATTTCTGTTGCTTCAGTGACTTCTGTGGGCCTGGGGTCAGGGAGGGACCAGTCCATTGGAGGGGAAGGGGGCCTCTGGAGTTTCTGCTGTGGGAGAAAAAGACCTCAGCTGTTGGGGGTCCTCCTCTGGTAACCCATCCACCTTCCTCCACGTCACCCATACATGGCCTTGTGGGTCTGGCCCTCCACCCCGTGATAGAGACACAGATGCAGGTCCTGGAGAACACACTTACTGCCCTGGTAGTCCTGCACAGATGGCACCAGTGTGGGGGCTCTAACCCGGAGGGAGAGCAGAGGTGAGAGAAGAAACCTCAAAGGAGGGGCTTCAGCTAGACACACCCCAACTCCCACCTGGCTCAAGTTTCTACCAAACAGCCCAGCTTGGGCTGTCAGAGTTGGCACAGTAACAAGAAGAGGTGCCTTTGCCCCTCAGCATGCAGAGTATAGGGGGCCGCCTTCACCTCCTGGACTTCAGAGCAGGAGAAAGGGTGGAGCCTGGCCAGGGCCTGTCCCTGAGAAGCTGGGTGTGAGGGTGGCTCTCTCTTCTGGGGGCTCCCATGGCCATCAGAGAGACCTGGTGGGGGAAGAGCCCCCTGCCCTGATCCTACCCTCACATCCAGGTATGTCTCCAGGGTGTGAACCCCTGGCCCTAAGAAGTATCCACTCCTCTCCCCATTCACCACCCATCCCCTTAAGCTGCCAGAGAAAATGCTGGGACTTCAGACTCCCTCTCCCAGACCCAAACCGTTCTCTTGCAAAACCCTCTCTCTATCCAGACATCCCTTATATTTAAGAATCAACCAGAGGCCGGGCACAGTGGCTCACACCTGCAATCCCAGCATTTTGGGAGGCCGAGGTGAGCAGATCGCTTGAACCCAGGAGTTTGAGACCACACTGGGCAACATAGCAAGACCCTGTCTCTACAAAAATAAAATTAGCTAGGTGTGGTGGCATGTGCCTATAGTTCCAGCTACTTGGGAGGCTGAGACAGAAGGATCGCTTGAGGCCAGGAGGTCAGGGCTATGGTGAGCTGTGATCATGCCACTATACTCCAGCCTGGGTGACAGAGCAAGACCCTATCTCCAAAAACAAAAAATTAATCTGAGCCAAGCAGCTGCATCCTCTAGAAGTTCTTTGTCTTTTAGGATCTGGTTCTACTTCCAGGTCATTTGCACACACCAGATGGAGTAGGACTTGAGGAGAAACACAATTGTGGTGCTATTTCCATTTCTGTGCAAGGTGCTAAGCCCAGAAAAGCGGACCCCTCATCCTCCAAACCCATAACCCCATCCCTTCAGGCCAAGCGTGTGGGGGAGGCAGGAGAAGCCATTCTAGGAACCGGACACATCTAGTTCCCTCACTTCTCCCCTTTACACACACACATGTACACACGCATGCATGCGCGCGCTGTCCCCACCTATTCAGGGTGCCTGAGAAGGGCCAGGAAGAGATGGGTGCTCTGGGACTCTGGGCAGTCCTCCCTGGGGCAGGATCCAGGTCCTCGCCCTCACAGGGCTGGAGTGTGCAATCTACAGATTCGATTCAATTGGCTGGAACTCTCAGTTAATCTAGCCTCCTCCCCTTCCACAGCAGCTTGAATACCTCCTGTGCCTAGGACTTCACTACCTCGCGGGGCAGCCCATTCTCTCCAAACTTCTGGATGGCAGCTCAGGGCCCTGGATGCAGCCAAGACTGCTGTAGCACCAGAATCGTTCTTCCAGGCTGGGCTGTGCGCCTGCCCCCATGCCAAGGATGCTGTAGTATAATTTTTGGTGCTTCTGCTGCCTAGGCTGCAGTAAGGCACTGGTGAGGGGCGCACTTGGGGAAGGGCTGTCATCGGGCCATGTCGGGAAGATCTATGGGTGCTGAACTGGGAAGATTCAAGACTACCAGTTCATAGACTTGCCGAAGGACCATGCAGGACCATCTGCTCAGTGGAGTCCCTGCCTTCCTCTGGCCACCACTTGTCCCTCTGTGAAAGGGAGAGGATGAGCTGAGCGACTCTGATGACCCCACCAATGTTCTGGATGATCCCCTTTTCCACTGCCCTGCCCTCCTCTTTCTCTCCCATGCATTTGGCGCTTCCTGCTGCCCCCACCAGGGGTCCACAGAGACACAGGACAGGCTGTGGCTTTGACTTGCTTTATTGAGCCTGTGCGGGAGCAGGGAGCAAGCTTTGGCCAGAGCCAAGGGTGCAGAAGGGAGAGCTGGGCTGGCACTGCTCATGGAGTCGTAGGAGACAGAAGGTAGCATTACAAGTCCAGCGGGCTGAGCTCCCTGTGAGGACAGGGCAGAACATGGCAGTGTAGGTGGCAGGCCTCGTGTCCTCAGGAGGCCTCAGGCTGGCTCTGGGCTCCTGTTCTCCCTCTTCCACCCCCCACTACACCTTTCCAAACTCTGATTCGGTCCCACCACCCCTATTTCAGCCCCAGGGAGTTGGACAGACAGGGCAGGGAGTCAAACTCACCTGGGGGCAGCAGCATGCGGGGACCCCCACTCCGAGAAGGCCAGCGTGTCCTCTTTGTGTCTTTTCCCATACCTGGGAGGGAAGAGGCAGCAGGGGCAAGCACTGTGCCCAGGTGCCAGCCCACCCATTTCATATCTGCCTGTAGGCACCATGTCTCCCAGGGCACATTGGCCTAGGCCTGTTCAGCACAGATGCCCTGTTTTCCCAAGAGCAGGCCTGGAAGGGGCTGGGGCTGGGGATAGGGTGTGGCCAGGAATGTGGAGTGGGCTCAGGGTCCCAGGGGCTGGATCTCTCTCCCCGACTGTGGCACACACCTAGGTCTGGTCAGCATGTTGATGTATCTACGGAGATCAGCCGCATACTGGGCCATCTGCTCTGGCGTGGCATTGTCCCCTGGGTACACTGGCTCCAGCGGGGCTCCCTGGGCACCCAGCAGTGGCTGTAGTAACAGAGCCACACAGGTGGACAGGAGCAGCAGGGAAAGGCAGAGGCGTGTGGCAGCCATCTGAGGAGCAAGCAGAGGGGAGGTGGAGAGCCCGGGCTGCAGATTTCCCATGCCCAGGAAGCAGGGTCCATCTACCCAGCCTCTTAGCCCATCATCCATTTCTCCAAGCCTGGGGACAAGGGGGCAGAGCAAAGGGCCACTCCAAGCTGACCACTCCACCTCCTAGACACTGCTCTGAAGGTGCGGACAGCCTGTCCTGTGAGCAGCCCAGCAAGCCAGCGCCTTGCAAGTTAGAAAAGCATAGCAGAGAAAATGGGGACATGAGTCCTGGACACATGGGACTCATGACATCCAGGGCCTCATGGCTCCAAGGAGGCAGCAGCTAGTGGGAATAAGGCCATGCCAGGTCACCCACAGGGTGGGGGACACAGAATGAACTCGGGAAGCCAAGGACAGAAATCCATGACCTTGTGGGTCTGGCCCTCCAACCTGCAATAGAGACACAGATATGGGTCCTGGAGAAGATGCTATTGCCCATGTCGTCCTGCACAGACCGGCAAAGGCACTCACACAGGGACCCCTGTCACTCACAAGGTCACAGTCACACATTCCGGTTCATGGCCATGCACACGAGTGTGCACATATACGTGCTGTCTTCTAGCGTGACAGGTCTGTCCAGATGCAGAAAGCAAGACCCAAGCAGGACCTTAGGCCTCCCAAGGCCCCTGGCCCTGCGAAGCACCAACTCCTCTCCATCCGAGGCCCCAGCCTGGGGGAGGCCCCCAGAGCCCCAGGCAGGCTGAGCCCGCTTACCTGGAGTCCAGAGTAAATGGGTACTAGACCAAACAAGCACCTGCCTCAGGCCGGATGGGCCCCTGCCCTCAGCTGGGCCGCTTTATAGCCCTCAGCCCCCCAGAGTCCCCGCCTCCTGTCAGCTTCTCTCGCTCCACAGCCCTCGCCCCTCCTCCAACTGTCTCCCGATATTGTCAGTATCTGAGGCCAGAGACAGGAGGAGGACAGGGCAGTGCTGTGGGTGCCAGACCAGCAGCATAACAGACAAAACTGGACCACAGGAAAAGTCTCCTGTGGGCCCCCATCCCTGACACTCCTTCCCTTTGGGCACCAGAGCAGGCTTGGTTCAAGAAAGATGGGGTTCCGGAACTTCAGAGTGACTGAAAGGTTTTGGTCACAGGCCTTGGAACTAGCTCTCCTGCCTCCCAAGGATCAACCCAAATCATCCAACATATTCCCTCTGGGCAGAAGATTGAAGCTGCAGCTGGAAGATTGAGGCTGCAGCTAGAGCCTCCAGGATGAAGAATGGAAACTCAGGCCATCCTCTGAAGCTTGCAACTAGAACAAGGTGGGAAGAGGGAAGGCGCCTCAGGTCCTCAGGCAAGGTGGAAAGGAGTGGGGTACCAAGCTTGGAGAAACCCATTTGGTGGGTGCATAGGATGCAGAATGAGAACTCATGTGCTTGGGTTCAGGGGAAAGGTTGAGGGGGTGCCAGTTTCCCGTAGCCATTTCCCTCCCCATCTCAGAGCCCCCATTCCAGGAAAGTGCTAAAAACCAGCATCATTTGTAAAGCCTCACATTTTCCAAAGTGCTTCCAGTTCAGTCACCTCACTAAATCCCCACAACAACCTATTTTACAGATTCAGGATCTGAAATCTGCTCAGAGATGTCAAATCGCTGGCACCAAACCACACAGCCAGTCAGACAAAGTATTGGTAGAATTTCCCACTTTTTGGCTGAGAAACCTGAGGCTCACAGACGTAGAGATGCTTGCTCAAGATCTCATAGCTACCGAGGTCCCAAATTCTGGCTTAGATTCTCAACCCCACTAATCCATCCCCACCAGAAGCCCCTGAATCTCCCCTGCCCAGCACCTCCCAACCCCCAGTCTCCTTCCCCAGCTTAGGCCAAGGAGTGGTAACTGGCTGTGTCTGAATGACATGGTGACACGGAGTACGGAGCTAAGGACTTATGACTGCTGATGTTCTGCTGTCCCAGATTAGTACACCAAGAAGTTGGGGGGTGGGGGGACTGTTGGGGAACAGGGAACTGGAGGTGAAACTCCAGGGATCTGGCAGGGTGGGGTTAGAGTCAGACAGAACTGGGACCAAATCCTGGCTCTGCCATTGGCTGGCTGTGTGAGCCTGGGAAAGTAATTGATTTAACCTCTCTACAGTAATTGATTTAATCTCTCTACAGAAGGAAAAGCTTCACTTTTCCTCTCTGTAAAATGAGCTCATCACACCCATCTCAAGATAGGGAGAATAAAGGAAGGCCCAGCAAACATCAGTGTTCTGCCTTAACCCTCCCAATTTTGATTTTTGTTAACAAGAAGAGCAATATTGCTTCACCAGACAACTTACATTCCGCAAGGCAAATATGAAAGTCGCTCTGTCTCAGCAAGCCCGGGCCTTTCTCTGGACGGAGGTTTTCTGCTTGCAAAACAAGGGTGTGAACTGGTGACTGGTCTCAGGTTGGCCTTGGGTTTGGCAGGGAGAGGTTGCAGCTATTGCCGCCAGAGGGCGCCAGGCTCCAACCCTAGTTAAAAGGGTCTGAGCTCCCACAGGACCGTGGCCTTGGAGGGACCTGTTCTGGCTGCTACTCATGTGGGAACCCAGCCCCACTCGACAGACAGTGGATCTAGGGATTGACTCAGATGCCAGGGCCACTTGTAGTTCTGTCCTGTCGCAGAGGTAAACCTAAGTGCCTAACAAATAACAGGTACTCCACAAATGTCAACCAAACTGTAGCTTTCCTTTTTCTCCTGTGCAAACAACAGATTCCTCTTCTGGGTCCTCTCAGGGATGTGGTGACAATCCAGGAGGAAGTGGTAGTAGATGTGCTTTCTACACTGCACGGCCATGTGTGTTCATTTTCATACCGCTTTGAAAAGAACTGTCTGAGGTCAGGCGCAGTGGCCCACACCTGTAATCCCAGCACTTTGGGAGGCTGAGGTGGGCGGATCACCTGAGGTCAGGAGTTCAAGACCAGCCTGGCCAACATGCTGAAATCCCATCACTACTAAAAACACAAAAATTAGCCAGGCGTGGTGGCGCATACCTGTAATTCCAGCTACTTGGGAGGCTGAGGCAGGAGAATCACTTGAACCGGGGAGGCGGAAGTTGCAGTGAACCGAGATGATGCCACTACACTCCAGCCTGGGCAACAGAGTAAGGCTCCATCTCAAAAAACACACAAAAAACAAAAAGAACTACCCGAGATTGGGTAATTTATAAAAAAAAGAGGTTTAATTGACTCACAGTTCAGCATGGCGGGGGAGGCCTCAGGAAACTTACAATCATGGCAGAAGGCGTAGGGGAAGCAAGGCATCTTTCTCACAAGGCAGCAGGAAGGAGAAGTGCTGATCAAAGGGGAGAAGAGCAACTTATAAAATCATCAGCTCTCGTGACGACTCACTCACTATCACGAGAACAGCATGGGGAAAACTGCCCGCGTGATTCAATGACCTCCACCTGGTCTCTCCCTTGACACATGAGGACTATGGGGATTACAATTTAAGATGAGATTTGGTGGGGACGCAAAGTCTAACTACATCACTATGTCTAGAACACAGCAATGGTTCTCACTCATCTTCATGTGTTCCTGTCAGAGGCGTTTGAACCAGAGCGACTCCATCTTGAACAGGGGTGGGTAAAATGAGGCTGCGACCTGCTGGGCTGCATTCCCAGGAGGTTAGGCATTTTTAGTCACAGGACAAGATAGGAGGCCGGCACAACATACAGGTCACAAGACCCTGCTGATAGAATGAGGTAAAGAAGTTGGTAAGAACACGCAAAAACCAAGAGAGTGATCAAAGTGACCGCTGATTGCCCTCACTGATTTTTCTTTTTTTCTTTTTCAGCAGAGATGGGCTTTCACCATGTTGGCGAGGCTGGTCTCGAACTCCTGACCTCAAATGATCTGCCCCCATCAGCCTCCCGAAGTGCTGGGATTACAGGTGTGAGCCACTGCACCTGGCCTCACTGATCGTTATACACTAATTATAATACATTAGCATGCTAAGAGATGCTCCCACCAGCGCCAGACAGTTTAGAAATGCCATGGCAACATCTGAAAGTTACCCTCCATGGTCTAAAAGGAGGTGGAACCCTCAGTTCTGGGAAATCCCCACTTCTCTGGAAAACTCATGAATAATCCACCCCTTGTTTATTAGTATATGATCAAGACATAACCATAAAAATAGCCAGACAGCAGCCGTGGGGGTGCTCTGCCTGTGGAGTAGCCATTCTTTGTTTCTTTACTTTCCTTTTATTTATTGATTGATCTTGTAGAGATGGGGGCTCACTTTTTTGACCAAGCTCAAACGATCCTCCTGCCTCGACCTCCCAAAGTGCTGGGATTACAGGCATGAGCCACTGCACCTGGCCCTTGTTTCCTTATCTAATAAACTTACTTTCATTCTACTCTGCGGAATCACCCTGAATTCTTTCTTGCGTGAGCCCCAAGAACCCTCTTTTGGGGTCTGGGTCAGGACCTCTTTTTGGTAACATTCCCATAGTGCTTGCCACAGAGCCCTGCTTAAAGAAAGCACCAATTCACCGGGCACGGTGGCTCACGCCTGTAATCCCAGCACTTTGGGAGGCCGAGGTGGGCGGATCACAAGGTCAGTAGATCAAGACCATCCTAGCTAACATGGTGAAACCCCGTCTCTACTAAAAATTTAAAAAATCAGCCGGGTGTGGTGGCGGGCGCCTGTAGTCCCAGCTACCCGGGAGGGCGAGACAGGAGAATTGCTTGAATCTGGGAGTCGAAGGTTTCAGTGAGCCAAGATCGCGCCACTGCACTCCAGCCTGGGCGACAGAGTGAGGCTAGGTCTCAAAAAAAAAAAAAAAAGAAAAGAAAAGAAATAAAGAAAGCACCAATTCCTGGTTTGCAGACCCACCAAATGAAGATGATAGTGGTACCTCTTCCTCTGCCCAACACCACGCCCTCTGGCACAAGGCAGATGGCCACTGGCGGTGACGGGGATGGAGTAAGTGCTATGAGACTAGGAGGGGAACACCCCAGAAACACCTGAGGTCACAGAGTGAATGAAGGCAGGTAAAGGAGCAAAGGGAATGGGGGCCCCTACATACTCGACCCCAGGGCAGCAGCTTGGCCCTCACCGAGTCCTCTATCACACACATTCCCCTGCCCCGCCCCCATCCTGGCTGTCTAACCTCAATCCCTGCTGCTTTCAGTTAATCAACCAATGAGTGGTCATTTATCGCACATCTGTTCTGGGCCTCATGGGGGCAGCAGGAGGTGATGAAGAAGCAAGGGTTCTACAAAGAGGTCAAAGCTGCGTGAGAAGCTGGGGGAAGGCTTGCTTTTTTTTTGTTTGTTTTGTTTTCAGATGGGCTCTCACTCTGTCACTAGGGCTGGGGTGCAGTGGCAGGATCATCGCTCACTACAGCGATGTCTCCTGGGCTCTGTCTCCTGGACTCAAGGGATCCTCCCATCTCAGCTTCCCAAGTAGCTGGGACCACAAGTGCTTGCCACCATGGCCTGCTATTTTTTTTTTTTTTTTTATTTTTTTGAGAGATGGGCTCAAGTATCTACCCAGCTCAGCCTCCCAAAGTGCTGGGATTATAGCCGTGAGCCATTGCATCTGGCCAGGATGGCTTTTTTTGAAAGTGAGGACGTGAAAGTTCAGAAAGGGGAAGAAACTGGCTGTGGCCCTCCAGCAAGCTGGCAGCCATCCCTCAGCTAGCCCTGTGCTTCAGAACCTTACTCACAGGTCATCTTACAAATGCCTCTTTGCTACCTTGTGAGAGAGGCAGGAATTACTCTTCACCCTTATCGGATAAGAAAACCGAGGTCCAGTGAGGTAGCTGAGGCTGTCTAAGGTCACATGGGAGTCAGGAAGGGTCAAAACTAAACCCAGGTCCACATGGTTCCAGCCTGGCTTTATCCCTGTTTGCAGACCCCCCCAATCCCAACCCGCCACTGGCTAGAGCCTGGCCCGGCTCTTAAGCCAATGTCTTATTCCAAAATTAAATGGCAACAGCAGAGGAAGAGATAGAGTGGGGGGCAGCTGCCCCCAGATGCCAGGACCTATGCCCTGGAGAAGCCTTTGGGCTCGGGATAGCTGTGACATGCACACACGTACCTTACGCCCCTTCTCTCACCCACTCTGAGCCAACTCAGGACCCAGTGGGGGCTCACTCCACTAATTTGGAGTCTGGGCTCTGCCTCCACTTCTCTCTGCCCTAGGAACTCCATCTGCCTCCAGGGCCTCCTGAAGACACACAGGGAGAGTTCAATATTTCTCCCTTCCTGTCTCCAGTGTCTGCAATAGCAAATCCTGTCATTACTGCTCCAAATTTTTCTCAAAGAGGAAGGCTTCTTTCTTGCTAAAATAGAAACTAAACTAAGCTACATAATACAGTTTGAGAACAGCCTGGCCAACATGATGAAACCCCATCTCTACAAAAAATACAAAAAAGTAGCCAGGCATGGTGGTGGGTGCCTGTAATCCCAGCTACTCGGGAGGCTGAGGCAGGAGAATTGCTTGAACCTGGGAGGCAGATGTTGCAGTGAGCTGAGATAGCACCACTGCACTCCAGCCTGGGCGACAAGAGCAAGACGCCATCTCAAAAAAAACAAGCCGGGCGTGGTGGCTCATGCCTGTATTCCCAGCACTTTGGGAGGCCGAGGCAGGCAGATCACGAGGTCAGGAGATCAAGACCATCCTGGCTAACACGGTGAAACCCCTTCTCTACTAAAAACACAAAAATTAGCTGGGTGTGGTGGCAGGCGCCTGGAGTCCTAGCTACTCAGGAGGCTGAGGCAGGAGAATGGCGTGAACCCGGGAGGTGGAGCTGGCAGTGAGCCGAGATCGCGTCACTGCACTCTAGCCTGGGCAACAGAGCAAGACTCCATCTCATTTAAAAAAAAAAAAAAAGACAGTGTTGGGGAGGTAAACAGGGAGGCCAGGGCAGTAAGGTTCCTGGAGGAAATGAGACCTGAAGTGGCCTTGAAGGCTGGAGGCAGGGGGAAATGCTATTTCACAGAAGCAGGGGTCTGTGGCAATGGGGTTGAGCACTTTAGGGGCACACACTGAGAAATTGCAGGAAATGCCACTGAAGGAGGAAAGGGTGTTATGAAAAGCCTGAGTTTCTGGCAGAGAGTTTAGATTTCATGTTTAGTAGAAACAGAACTGCTTCGGGATGAGATCTCTTACCTCTGTCCCTTATTCTACGGCTTCCTGCAAGCCTCTTCCTCTCCGCCTTGGGATTCCCATTGGTTCAATGAAGAGATAGGCCCAAATGATTTCTAGATGACATTCAAAGGACATCATGTTCCTAGTAGATAATGTTAGGTGCCCAAATATCCACATTCTCCTTTCATCATCAAAAACCTCGAGATGGTACATATGTAGGTTTGTTATATAACAAAAAGATAATCCGGCTGGGCACGGTGGCTCACACCTGTAATCCCAGCACTTTGGGAGGACAAAGCGGGTGGATCACCTGAGGTCAGGAGTTCAAGACCAGCCTGTCCAACATGGTGAAACCCTGTCTCTACTAAAAATACAAAATTAGCTGGGCCGTGGTGGTGCATGCCTATGATCCAACCTCCTCAGGAGGCTGAGGCAGGAGAATCGCTTGAACCAGGAAGGGGAGGCTGCAGTGAGCTGAGATCGTGCCATTACACTCCAGCCTGGGCAACAAGAGCAAAACTCAGTCTCAAAAAAAAAAAAAAGATAATCCATTTATAAATTTAAAAAATTTGTAAAAACAAAGAGCTTGAGATGGGCACACAGCCACTCAGCAAAGACACAGGTTGCCTTTGCAGCTAAGTGGGGCCATGAGACTAGGCTTTAGCCAATGGGCTGAGAGTTAAAGTGGTTTTTGCCATTCTGTTTTTAGGAATGGATGTGCCTGCCTATGGCAGATTATATTTTTCAAAGACGACACAAAAATACCTCCTATCTCATGTGTGATTCTACAGTGGGTCTGTGTCCCCTCTTCTTGAATGTGAGTGCACTTGTGACTGCTTTGACCAACAGAATATGGGATATGGTGCTATGTGACTTCTGAGGCTGGGTCACAAAAAATGGTTGTCGTGAGTTAAATTGTGTTCCTCCTGAAATTCATATGTTGAAGTCCTAACTCCCAGTACTTCAGAATGTGACCTTATTTAGAAAAGGGGTCATTGCAGATATAATTAGTTAAGATGAGGTTGCCAGGCGCGCGGTGGCTCACGCCTGAAATCCCAGCACTTTGGGAGGCCAAGGCGGGTGGATCACAAGGTCAGGAGTTTGAGACCACCCTGGCTGACATAGTGAAAGCCCATCTCTACTAAAAATACAAAAATTAGCTGAGTGTGGTGGCGCATGTCTGTAGTCTCAGCTACTCCGGAGCCTGAGGCAGGAGAATCGCTTGAACCTGCGAGGCGGAGGTTGTGGTGAGCCTAGATCACGCCACTGCACTCCGGCCTGGGCAACAGAGTGAGACTCCATCTCAAAAAAAAAAAAAAAAAAAAAAGATGAGGTCATACTATAGTGTGTGAGCCCCTAATCCTGTAGGACTGTTCTCCTTTGAAAAGGGGAAATTTGGACACAGAAACAGACATGCAAAGAGGGAAGATGAGGTGAAGAGGCACAGCTCAGACACCCATCTTCAAGACAACGAGAGGGGCCTGGAACAGATCAGAAGGAATTAACCTGCCAACGCCTTCATTTCAGACTGCTAGCCACAAAAACTGTTGCTTAAACCACCCAGTCTGTGATTCTTTGGTATGGCAGCCCTAGCAAACTAAACAGCAATGCCACCTTCATCTGATTCTCTTGAAATACTCTAAGCAGGAGACCAGTTACCATGTAAGTCCAACTACCCCAAGAATATCAGGCTGGAGAGGCCACATGTAGGTACAATGGTCAACATCCCCAGCTGAACTCAACAGCCAGCACCAGCATGCGAATGAGCCTTCTCAGGCATAACTGCAACCCTGCCAACCTCTGGTAGTATCCGCATGTGAAACTCAAAGCAAGAACTGCCAGGAGGAGCACTTCCTGACCCTGACCCACAAAATCCTCAGTGATGTACAATGGTTGTTTGAAGCTGCCAAGTTTTAGGGTAACTTATTATACAACGTAGTAACCAGAGTGCCTATCTTGCCCTTCCCTCCCTTGCCACTGGCTAGAACACAGATGAGGCCATGGTGGGCTGTCTGCAGTCCTGTAAATGACATAGATGAGGGCATGGGGAAGCCACAAATGGGGAGCCCGGGCTCTTGGATGCCCTCATGGAGTACAACTGCCAACTCCCCAGATGTCACTCACATTTCATGCAAGAGAAATAAATTTCCATCTTGTTTAAGCCACTGTTAATTCCACCTGTTTTTTTTAAGCCAAATCAATATCCTAGTAATATGATATATGTAAAACAAACAGCTCAGTGTCTAGCACATAAATAAGTGTTTTTTTGGGAAAGGTAATTATTGCTATTCTCATTATTATTATACTAATAATAATTATTAATAATATTATTACCCTAAACTGCTCAACACTCCTCAAAATGAACATGAGGTGGACCCATGTGACTGATGGTCAAGCTGGACAGAAATTGTCTGTAGTCATGCCTAATTCATACCAGGTTTCTCTTCCATCCGCCTTAAACTGACTATAGCTCTCCCAGCAGACCAATAGACAGGGGATCAAGGACACCAACACACAGACACATTCTCCCGCTCCCCACCCACACAATGAACCAAAGCTCTGGGCAGCCACTGTGTGCTCCCATCCCACCTGTCCTGTTGCAGGAGAGAAGACAGGAGGCAAAATGGGATGGAAAGTGGGTCCAAGATAATGAGTGGGGAGAGGGAGTCAAAGAAACTAACTTCATCCCCAAGAAATCAGGCAAGGCTTCCGGGAGGAGGTGACTACTATCCTGAGAGTATCTTTCAGGCTGAAGAGAGGGAAAGGGCTCTGCAAGCAGGGAGAGTGGCCTGGGCAAAGGCGCAGAGCATCAGAATCCACATAGCTGGTGACCTCCACCTGCCTCCTCTGCCTCACCCTTTCAGCTCTACCTCCAGGGAGGCTGGAGGACAGCACAGGGGAGGGTGGGTGTCAGAGCCCTCTGGCCCCCAACGGACCTGTGTCCAAGCAGGGACCTTCTCTGCAGCTATGGCACAGTCAGCTTTAGAGTCTTCTCTCCTTCCAGAACCATTGAACTGCAAATAGTCCTTAAAAACCCTGATCCGTTGGCCGGGCACGGTGGCTCAAGCCTGTAATCCCAGCACTTTGGGAGGCCGAGGCGGGCGGATCACGAGGTCAGGAGATCGAGACCATCCTGGCTAACACGGTGAAACCCCGTCTCTACTAAAAATACAAAAAGAAATTAGCCGGGCGTGGTGGCGGGCGCCTGTAGTCCCAGCTACTCCGGAGGCTGAGGCAGGAGAATGGCGTGAACCCGGGAGGCGGAGCTTGCAGTGAGCCGAGATCGCGCCACTGCACTCCAGTCTGGGCAACAGAGCGAGACTCCGTCTCAAAAAAAAAAAAAAAAAAAAAAAAACCCTGATCCGGGCCAGGCGCAGTGTCTTACGCCTGTAATCCCAGCACTTTGGGAGGCCAAGACAGGCAGATCACGAGGTCAGGAGATCAAGACCATCCTGGCCAACATGGTGAAACCCTGTCTCTACTAAAAATACAAAAATTAGCCGGGTATGGTGGCAGGCACCTGTAGTCCCAGCTACTCAGGAGGCTGAGGCAGGAGAATCACTTGGACCCAGGAGGTGGAGTTTGCAGTGAGCCGAGATGGCACCACTGCACTCCAGCCTGGGCAACAAAAGCAAAAACTCTGTCTCAAAACAAAAAGCAAAAACAAAACAAAACCAAAAAACCCTGATCTGCTGCAAGGATGCCCCAGCCTTCCTGTTGTTTTTTCACTCTCTGGGTAACAGGCTTTGATTTCCTCCCTCATCTCCTAGCGCCTTGCTTCAGATTTGGGCAGGTCTTGCTGACCTAGAGTCCCAGGACAGAGCCCACAGCTACAGGAGGCTGTGTCCCAGGAAGGAGACATAGGCCCTTCCTTCCTGAGGCCCCAGGAGGGACACAGGATACAGAGACATAGACAGAACTCTTAGTGAACAGAGCAGAGGCCTTGAGAGCCGGGCAGCCAGAGAAGGCAGGAAGAGTGCAATTGGGCAATCAAGGCAAGCTTCTTGGAGGAAAGGGGCAGGGAAGGATGGATGTCAGGGGAGATCGGTCTGCAGGCAGAGGCTCTGGAATAGGTGCAGAGTGGTGAGGGGTTCGAGTTGGATTCCAGTTTAAACATCTACAGAGCCTTTAGGCTTCAGTAGCTAGTCCAGGGGAGGGGGGGTACATGGAGGGTGTCCCTATGGCCTTGTCACTGGGAAAGAACGGTTCATGACATCCACTGAGTGTGAATTCAGCGATATGGGGGAGGGCAGTTTCTTAGGGATAGGGCAGCCTCCACACTCCCATTGCTCATCTACTCAGTGAAAGGGGGACGGTAGAAATGGCCTGCCTCTTCGTCCAGCACACATACAGCCATCTCACCCCCACACAGCTCGTCCTCCACAGCCCCATTTTGGATCACACTTCACCTCCAGCCACTCCAGCCCTGGGCGCTAGTAATACAGCTCCTGGGGAAGTTCCCCAGTGTGTTGGTGCCCGACTCGTCCCCCAGCCATCTTTGGCTTCACGGGGTGGGGGAGGGACAGCCCTGACCCCATCTGCTCTCCTAGGCTGCCTAGCAGGCTCCCGTCCACGCTCCCCGCCCTTCTTCCAGAGCTCCATCCACCCCTGCCCCAACTCGACCAGAGTTCCTTCACAGCAATTCCTGGTCTGGGCGCTGTCCAGCTCCAGGCTGGGTGGTCGAGTCTTCCCTGGGCTCCGAGAAGAGGGAACCCCGCCGCCCGCCCCAGCCTTGTCCTGGGGCGCCTCTGTCCAAGTCGGTTTTCTCTTCCCTGACCCCCACCCCTCTACTCTCCACTTCCACTGGACGCCACCTCCACGAAGGAGAAAGGAAAGGAAGTACAAAGGCACACATTCCGTTTCTGTGGAATTTGCTCTTTATTTTGGGACCACGGAAGGACCACACACAGCCCTCCAGCCCAGGGGGCGGGGGCACCGAGATGCGGGCGGAGGGCCGCACCCGAACCCTGCCCAGACGCCGCCGTCGGGAGGCAGAATCCGGGTTTGTGGGGTAGGGAGTGCTATGCAAATGAGATGGGCGTGGTTGGCAGATCTCCCAGGAGGCCTCAGGGGTCCTCACCACAGGTCTGGGACCTCCGACCTGCGGAAGCGAAGGGGAAGGAATTGGATCTCGGGTAGGCGAGCCTGGGAGACGTCGTAAGTGATGTTGCCAGGGTGGGGCCAGGCCGCGCTCTCGGAGGCAGGATGTGTGGTGACGGGGGCGCTTTTACCGCGACCTGATGGGGCGGTTCTCGCCGTCGGGGAAGAACGTTTTGGAAAGGAGCGCGTCCGGGCCGTCTCTTTTCCCATACCTGGGGGCGGGGCGGGAAGAGCGTGGTCAGATCTGGCCACGCCCCCAGGTGGAGCGGGGCCACAGAGTGAGAGCCCCAGGGGTCCCGCTCCGCGACCACGCTCACCGCTGCCGGGTGACCAGGTTGAGGTAGTGGCGCAGGGAGGCGTAGTAGCGGCTCAGCTCCTCCGGGGAGGCGTCTTCGCCAGGAGCCTCGGGTTTGATGGGGTAGGCGTCGACCAGAGCCCCCAGGCAGACGAGCAGGGCCAGAATCACTGTGGCCAAGGCGGGCCACGGCCTGCGCACGAGCACCATCTGGGAAGGCGATACTGGGGGGTGGGTCATTCCAAGCCTCGACCCTCCAGGGCGGGAGGCTGCGGCTGCCGTCGGGGCCGCGCTCCGACGCTCTTCCTGGGGCTGGTACCGGACCAAGGCTCAGCCACTGGCTTGCTGTGTGTTCTCGGGCACTGCACCGTCTCCTGACTCAGTTTCCTCATCTGTGAGAGGGGCATAAGCCCTGCCTGCCTCCCCACCCCCACTCCCGCTGCTGCCCAGAGAGTTAGTTGCTGGCAACGGGACTCCCAGGCCTCCTTCCCACCTCCAATGGCCCCCTCCAATCCAGTTTCCTACCACTCACCCCCAGCTTCCACCACCCATCCTCAGTTTCCCCACAAAACACCCTGGGTTTCCTGGTAGCAGACCATGTTTGAGCCCCCAGCCACTCACAGCGATAGCTTGTGAAGCAGATGAGCAGGAGGTGGAAGGCGAGGAAGTCCCAAGGGCTGCACTGCAGCAGGTCAAGCTGAGGCCTCCTCTGCTCAGCGCTTTCCTTGTGGGGCTTATATCCCCGCCTAGAAAGGGAGGGGGAGTCCTGGGGGAGGGGGAGCCAGCAGGGGGTGGGCCCTTCTTCCTCCCTCCTTCCACCCTCGCCAGATCACTGAGCTTATACGCAGCCAGTGTGTGATGTCTCCACCTCCCAGGAGCTGAGGGGGCAGCTGCCATGCTCAGATTCGGGGTCTCACTGGATGGGGTACCCAGCCTGAACCCCATATTCACCCCACAGCCCCCCAGTGGCAGGTCTAGTCTCCTGAGGAAGTGAAGCGGTTGGGTCTAGACTCCTGGGGCAGCCGCTAAGACCAGAGTTGAGATTCTGTCTTCCCTAGCCTGTCCGTGGGTGGGAGTTGGGGGTGGGAGGGTGGACACATTCCCTCCAGTCTGTGGGATCTACGACCACTCTTTCCAAAAGACGACCCTTTTCAGCCTCTGCTCAAAGGGTTTGGAGAAGGGCTGAGGAGTGACAGGACCTCTTGGGGAAAGTGTCCTGGAGACAGGGTGGGAGCACCTGACCTTGGCTCCTGACCTGCAGTTTATGGTGTCTTGGGGGAAAGGCCTCTCTGAACACTCCATTATGTCCTCTCTCTATTAAAGAGTTGGAAGAGAGGCAGGCGGAGGCAGAAGCCAATCCCCCCACCAGAAGCAGCTGAGTTGGCCACCTATGTATCCAGACTGGCACACACAGACCCCGGTCCAGCCATGTGTGGCATAGAGCCCCCTCCCAAGGCAGAGTGTCTCCACCCCTATGCAGGTGTCATTCGGGGCACTGGTGTCTTCTGGGCCTGAGTGATGCCAAGGCTTCCCAGGCACATGCCACTGTCCCCGGCCCATGGCAGTTTCCACTGGGCTCTAAGCCCAGATCCTTTGAAGGAAAGGACTCATGTTTATTAAGCACCTACTGTGCACCAGGTAGTGCGTAATTTCAGGCATCACAAGACGATGAACTGAGTGTATCTCCATTTTCCAGATGAGCAAACTGAAGTCCTGGGAGGTGATGGAGCAGCCAAGGTCACCCACGATTCAAACAGGAAAAGGAGGGTGAGGCAGACCCCAGGAAGAGGACCTCTCAATTGTGAGGGGCAGAAAGGCTCAGCACCTGGAGTAGCCATTGGGGCGCCAGAGGCAGGCCTGGGAGCAGGGACCCGAAGACTAAGCCTGGGGCCCACCACCCACTCTGAGAGGCCAAGTAGGGGAAGGGCCTCCGGACTGCCAACCCCCTCAAACCCACCTGCCCAGGAGGAGAAAGGGCTGTGGGAGGGTCTCCCCATAAAGTCCTTCCAGCTTCCTCTCCCTGGCCCATGGGGGCTGACAGGGCCAACTTGTCCAGGCCCTTGGTGCTGAGCCAGCCCCTCCAGCCCCAGGACAGATGGCTGTTGGCGCTATTTTTAGAGCTCTCCTGAGATGGGGAGTTCAGGGCTCTCTGTCACCCTTTTATGGGTTCAATCACCTGCATTCTCCGGAAATGGCTCCTTATCAGCCAGTCAGGCCCCGTGGGACTCCACATCCCAGGAAACACCAGGGTGCCCTGCTGAGCATGGGGGTGGAAGAGGACACCAGGACAAGGGGACACAGATCCTGCCCTTGGAGGGAGGAGAAAAATCATTCCTTTTAGGAAGCCCTCATCCAGGGGGCAAGGCACACCCCTGTCCTTTAAGAACCCCAGTCTCAAAGGAGAGACATGGTCATGTCATAGGGGAGCCCTAGTCTGAGGGGTTCCCAGAACATAGATACAGAGACACAGAGACAGCCTTTGTCCTGTTTGGAGGGGAGACAGCGGAAATCAAAGAATTCCATTCCTCCATGGAAAGACAAAAGACAGGCGCTCACCCTAGGATGGAGGGGGCAGTGGGGGCTGGTTAGGACATCTGTGATCCCAGGGGTCAGGGCCTAGAGAAGGACCCTGCAGGCTAACAGGGGCAAGGATACCAGAGAGTAGGTATTTGCTCTTCTGATCCTGCGGCACTAACCCTGGTGGTTGTAGGGGGTTTCTAGTGCACCGATCCCAGGCAGAGAGAAGAAGGAACCTGTGAGATGGCCACAGGGAATCTGACATCCCTGGAACCCTGTTATGTCTTGGGGAGCGTGGAGTCCAAGGACAGATGGGAAGAGAGGACAGACACTGTAGAAGCTAGAGGGCATGGGGTGGCCTAAATTCAGGCTACAACCTCTGAAGAAGTCACTTCCTCATTTATAGCCAAAGTAAATGGGCCCCTAGGTGGTCTCAGTGTGGACCAGGAGCCAGCCGCACATCCCTGCAAACCGTCTCTATCCATCATACCCCCACCCTCCAATCTTAGTCCCCAATTACAGGGCAAGCTGATTGGTTCATTAATCACCGCCTCCTCATTGAAGAGCTTATTAACTTGTTGATTAGCAGGGAAGATGTCTCAGCCCTCGATCAATGGGCTCAGCCACCCCCCATCCACACACCCACACCCATCATTGCTGCATGACTCAGTGGCCATGAGACATGTCTGGGGTGTGAGGGGGGAAACTTCAGAAACAATCGTTTTTGTAGAAGTGATCCCAGGTCCCAAGTGAGACCAGGACCTGCCTCCAGTTTGTCTTTGAAGGGTAGGGGACAGAATAAAAGGGGGAGGGGACAGAATCAAAGGGTTCCTTTGGTCCCCATTCTGAGACCACCTGGCAAGGCCACCCCAAGTCAGGGAGACCATGGACCTGGACCCCAGCCAACAATTCTCCTTGTCCAGTGGGCTCAAGGGCCACTCATCAAGATGGTGTAGCCTCTGCCATTCATCCCCAGAGGCTTAGAATTCTGTACCCCATCACCCACCTGCCTGTACCCACTCCGCACACAAGGCCTCTCTTTGATCACCATGCACTGTGCAGCACTGCTCCACCGCTTTCCACCCTCAGGCATTTCCTTATGCCCAGGGTCCTGCAGACAGCAGGTTGTCATACAGCAAGTGTAATTCAGGCCAAGTGTGGTGGCTCAGCACTTTGGGAGGCCCAGGCGAGTGGATCACGAGGTCAGGAGTTCCAGACCAGCCTGGCCAACATGGTGAAACCCCATCTCTACTAAAAATACAAAAATTAGCCAGGTGTCATGGCGCGTGCCTGTAGTCCCAGCTACTCGGGAAGCTGAAGCAGGAGAATTGCTTGAATCCGAGAGGCAGAGGTTGCAGTGAGCCAAGGTCGCGCCACTGCACTCCAGCCTGGGTGACAGAGCGAGACTCTATCTCAGAAAGAAAATAAAAAGAGTAATTCAATCCTCACACAATAAGCACTTATTAAGTCCCTGCTGTGTGCCAGGCACTGATCTAGGCACTGGGATAGAGCAGTGAACAAACAGGCAAAATCCTTGCTCTCATAGAGCTCACATTCTAGCGACAGGAAATAGAAAATAAATAAGCATGGAGGCTGGGTGCGGTGGCTCACGCCTGTAATCCCAGCACTTTGGGAGGCCGAGGCAGGTGGATCATCTGAGGTTAGGAGTTCAAGACCAGCCTGGTCAACATGGTGAAACCCTGTCTCTACTAAAACTACAAAAAGTAGCCAGGCGCGGTCGCGGGCACCTGTAATCCAGCTACTCGGGAGACTGAGGCACAAGGATCACTTGAACCCAAGGAGCGGAGATTGCAGTGAGCCGAGATGGTGCGACTGCACTCCAGCCTTGGTGACAGAGTGAGAATCTGTCTCACATAAATGAATAAATACATAAATAAATAAGCATGAAATATGTCTGGTAAGTGCTATAGAGAAAAATGAGAGCTGGCTGTAGGGGCTCACATCTGTAATCCCAGTGTGCTGGGAGATCAAGGTGGGAGGATCACTTGAGCCCAGGAAGGAAGTGAGGAAGCAAACCATGAAGCTACCTTGGGAAGAGTGGGGCGTGGGTTTAGGAAACAGCAATGCCAAGAAGGAAGGGATTTTCACTTTTTATGGTAGGAGCTCCCCTAGGAGCCCTCCCTCTTACCTGAAGCTTCTGCAAAACAGTAACAGATACCTATGGTGTGGTGCGTGCTCAAGGCTCAGGCTTCGCTCTAGAACAGAGGTAGGCAAACTCTGTAAAGGACCAGATAGCAAATATTTTAGGCTTTGTGGTCCATACAGTTTCTATTGACACCGTTAGGTTCATCCACTGTAGCTTGAAAGCAGCCATGGAATACACCAAAAAAAAAAAAAAAAAAAAAAAGGGCATGGTAGTGCTTCAGTAAATCTTTACTTACAGATGTTGAAGTTTGAATTTTATGTAATTTTCATGTCATAAAATTTTTTTTAGTTTATTTTAACCGCTTACAGATTCAACCACTTTAAAAGCCATTCTTTTCATTATTATTGAACTCAAGGGATCCTCGGGCCTCAGCCACCCCAAATGCTGAGATTATAGGCATGAGTCACTGTGCCTGGCCTAAAAGGCTTTTTTTTTTTTTTAATTTGAGACAGAGTCTTGCTGTGTCACCCAGACTGGGGTGCAGCAGCATAATCTCAGCTCACTGCAACCTCTGCCTCCCGGGTTCAAGAGATTCTCCTGCCTCAACCTCCTGAGTAGCTGGGATTACAGGCACATGCCACCACGCCTGGCTAATTTTTGTATTTTTAGTAGAGACGGGGTTTCACCATGTTGGCCGGGCTGGTCTCCAACTCCCAGCCTCAAGTGATCTGCCTGCCTTGGCCTCTCAAAGCGCTGGGATTACGGGTGTGAGCCACCACACCTGGCCCCTAAAAGGCATTTTAACCCATAGAATGTACAAAAACAGGCCCACAGAGCTATAGTTTGCTGACTCCTGGTCTAGAAAAGCAAGAACTCAACTACCTCTGGGTTGAGTTGTCTGTTGGTTGGATGTGTCCCTAGCCTGTTTATGCCAGGTGTATTCGTCATTGTAATCATATAATTGAATTAAATATTATATAAACTGATGAAATATGAGTGCATAAAGAATTGTTTCCTTGCAAACTACGTTAAGTGCTTTGGAAGTAATACACAAAGAGATTTGCTGACATGTTGAATTAGGTGTGAAAGATAAACTATTAAGGGAAAATCCTAAAAATCTAGACGTGTGCTACATCAGATTGCTTCACAAGTGTCTTTAAGTTTAAATAAATTGGAAATAATAGGTGACAAATTATAGGATTGTGGGTGTGATTTATGCAAGAAAGTCAAAGGGGGATTTGAGTCAAGATACCCAAAGAAAAATTTGTGCCTGAATGTGTATTTTGTGTTTGAAGTCAAAACAAAGTGACTAAGACCTGTATGTGTTTTTATGACTGCCTACTTAAACTGACTTTTTCAAAACACTGGTCAATGACTCAGACCTGTTTATACCAAAACAAGGCTTCTCCAGTACTTTATATATTTCCAATATAGTTTGAATGTTTAAAGGGTATTTCTATTTAATGGCTTAAATAGCAACCAAAGAATTTTTTAAAACCCATAAAAATAGGCTGGTTGCAGTGGCTCATGCCTATAATCCCCGCACTTTGGGAGATCAAGGCGGGCGGATCACCTGAAGCCAGGAGTTTGAGACCATCCTGGCCATGTCGAAACCCTGTCTGTACTAAAAATACAAAAGTTAGCCGGGTGTGGTGGTAGCACGTGCCTATAATCCCAGCTACTTAGGAGACTGAGGCAGAAGAATCACTTGACCCTGGGAGGCGGAGATTGCAATGAGCCAAGATCGCTCCACAGCACTCCAGCCTGAGTGACAGAGCGAAATTCCATCTCAAAAAAAAAACAAAAACAAAAACGAAAAACAATAAAAATAAAATGCTGGTGTGTGTTGCGAAGCCTGAAATCAGATACTGTGAGGGTCCCTGGGCTCCAGCCCCTGGGAGTTCTGTGCACATCCCCTCCACATGAGTGCTCCTGTTCTCAGATGAGCTCCTGTTTGAATCCAAAACTTTTTCAAGGGCCCAACAGTCTCAAGAGGCCTGTGCTGTAGGTGCAGAAACTCAAGTCCTGAAAGAGGTATGGATTCAAGGAGGAACAGTTCTGACCTATGTCAGACACAGTCGGCTCCGTTATTCACCAGGCCCTTGTGGACTTGTGTCTTCGTGGCTCCTGGCATCTGATGTGATACTGGCACGTGGTGGGCTCCTAGGTTATCGAATCAGTCAACTTGTGAACATATTAGTTAAGATATTCCTGCACCTGCCTTAATAGATACCAAATAGCAATAGCTTAAATATCATAGATGTTTATTTCTCTCTCATGTAAGAGACCAAGCTGGCAGCCAGGAGGTATGGTGCCTCTGATCTACAAGGAGCCCAAGCACCATCTATCTTGTTACTCCAAGATTATGCACCCATCTACATGGTTTAAGAATGTTTGGCCAGGCGCGGTGGCTCACGCCTGTAATACCAGCACTTTGGGAGGCCGAGGTGGGTGGGGCACCTGAGGTCAGGAGTTGGAGACCAGCCTGGCCAACATGGTGAAACCCCATCTCTACTAAAAATACAAAAAAATTAGTCGGGAGTGGTGGCGGGCACCTGTAATCCCAGCTACTCAGGAGACTGAGGCAGCAGAATTGCTTGAACCCGGGAGGTGGAGGTTGCAGTGAGCTGAGATTGAGCCACTGCACTCCAGCCTGGCGTCTCAAAAAAAGAAAAAAAAAAGAAAAGAGAAAAGAAAAGGGTGTTTATTACCCCACATTCACATTCCAGGCCACAGGGATGAGAAACAAGGAAGTAGAGGGCAAGCATTTTGCCCTTTAAGAGTTGGGTATGGTAGAGGTCAGGTTCCTGGCCCACACCTGTAATCTCAGCATTTTGGGAGGCCAAGGCGGGAGGACACTTGAGCCCAGGAATTTGAGACCAGCCTGGGCGACATAGCAGGATCCTGTCTCTACCCAAACAATAAAAAATAAATTAGCCTGGTATGGTGGTGCGTGCCTGTAGTCACAGCTACTTGGGAAGCTGAGGTGGGAGGATTGCTTGAGCCTGAGGGGTCACAGCTGCAGTGAGTTGTGATTGCTCCACTGCACTCCAGCCTGGGCAACAGAGCAAAACCCCATCTCAAAAAAAAAACAAACAAGCCAACCAAAAAAGTGAAGTTGGGGAGGAAGGAGAGTATCAGGAAGAATAGCTAATGGTTGCTGGGCTTAATACCTAGGTGATGGGATGATTCGTGCAGCAGACCACCATGGCACATATTTACCTATGTAACAAACCTGCACATCATGTACATGTACCCCTGAACTTACAAGTTGGAAATAAAGAGTATGATGAGGAAGCTGCATTGCTTCTTGTGCTCCTGTCCCATTGGCCAGAACTTAGTCACGTGGCCATGCCTAGCTAGAAGGCTGTTGGCCTCTGTTTTGCTCTATTTTCTTTTTCTTTTCACTTTTTTTGAGATGGAGTCTCACTCTGTCACCCAAGCTGGAGTGCAGTGGTGCAATCTCAGCTCACTGCTACCTCCGCCTCCTGGGTTCAAGTGATTCTTGTGCCTCAGCCTCCTGAGTAGCTGGGATTACAGGCTCTTGCCACCACACCTGGCTAAGTTTTGTATTTTTAATAGAGACAGGGTTTCACCATGTTGGCCAGGCTGGTCTTGAGCTCCTGACCTCAGCCTCCCAAAGTGCTGGGATTATAGGTGTGAGCCACCGTGCCTGGCCTGTTTTGTTCCATTTTCCCCAACCCTCGTGTCAGCCCAGTTTCTGTCTTCTCTGCCTCCAAACTCACCTGTCTCTTACCACAATGAAAGTGGCCTTCACCTCAGCATACAGCCTCCTCCTCCCTCAACCCCCTGCCTGGAAGTGGGAACCTGTCACCTTACCTCACCCATCTTTTCCTTTCACTCTTTCCCATCACTCTAAGAGACCGTGAGTTGTTCCCCAGTACCTATTTTCCCCTTCTTCCCTTACAATAGAGTTTAGCTGAGCATATGGCTTCCCAGCTAAAAACTACATTTCCCAGTCTCCCTTGAGCCAAGTGACTTCTTGTGACTAAGTTCTGGCCAATGGATGTGAGCAAGAGTGATGTGTGCCACTCCCAAAATGTGCTATTAGAAGGAATGTGGGTATCCTCTCACTCCTCTATTTTTCCC